TCAATAAAATTAATGTAATTTATGGCGAACCCACTTCTTTAATAGATTAAATAGACATCAACTCAGGTAATTTCGGGTAAAATTACTGCACGCTCGAAAAAAATTCTTAACTATTAATAATAGCCCACATTTTATTAAAACATTCCGACAAATATCTCTTTCATTTTTCTCTTGGAATTTTACCCGAATTTGCCTGAAATTGAAAAAAATAACATCTATACCTGAGGATGGTAAATGTTTTTACCGAAAGTACTTGCAAGCAATATGGTCCGAACATATGTTCCATTGTACATTTAATAAAGAAGGATCGTGTAGTTCCGCGAGTGGTCAGTAAGATAAGGCCTTCCTAATCTGTTGACAAATTATTTCGCCATTATTTACTATAACTTTTGTTGTTTTTTTTTTGATAGCACTGGTCAACAAAAAAACTGAAGTGGTATCGAGAGACCAAACATCCTTTTTGGCTAATTTGAAGGCGATGAATCTGAAAATGACTTTACTGTTTTGTTTGGCTACCGTTTTTGATGTACCGAAATGCCTCATTTTGGGAAAGAAAAGCATTCTTTATGTATGACGTTGACCGATGGCTATATTTCTCAAAGTAAAATCGTAGAAATCTCTCAATTCGTATTTACACTAACAAATTTTGGTCTGCTTATTAAGAAATACTATTTTTGCAATAACAATCAGACCCAAAATCATTAAAAATAACCCGATTGAATATACCAAGAGCAACAAGTATTTTCATCAAATCGTTTAATAAACTAACAGCAGAAATAAGACATTCGTGAACTAGAGAACTATGATAAAAAAAAAATCCCTTTCTTGATTGTCATGTTCAATATTATTTAAGTCCCTTTTGATTCTCCAACAATAGTCAGACATCATTCGTTTGTCTCTGGTAACGCTTTCTCATGGTTTTGATATCCTGATGGAATCGTTGTCTTTGCTCACCACTCAAATCGCCGCAATTATCCAGAATTTTTTCTAGATGGTTATGTAAAAAATGAACCTTAATACACATATTGGCGCCTGTGACCTAAACCCCTACCACATTCGGACGTATTCGAAAAGCGGCTTCAAATAGGGGGAGATTTCAAATTAACAACACAAACGGTGCTTTGGCGATTTTAGATCACGGTGTGATTAGATGTTCCTAATCCCGCGTGGAGGACGGATGTTATGTTGAAACCATTTTCATGGCGTTCATCATGTACAGTGGAATAGATGCATACAGTTGCGATGTTTTCAGTTTCTTTCCAATTGTGAAAACAAAAGCCCTCAATGTGTTTGGTTTCCTTTCGTAGTGATGCGTTAAATTTAAGAATATGAAAGAGAAGATTTTTGCGTTTAATTATTTTTTATGTCTCTTTAATTATCAGGTTTACTGAAGTTTTTTTTTTTCCATTTTGTCGATAAATTGGAAAATTCGATATTTCTATTTTAAAATTTTTGACTTAAAACGCTTTTTTCTCATAAAAATAAATTATCCGGGGTACCTGAAAATTGATGATTTTTAAAGACCTTTATTAAGTAAATTTTGCGATCAGTCAAGATCGTAAATTAATCAATTTTCCAAAACTAAGCAATTTCAGTACAGCAAAAACTTTAAGTAACCATGAAAAACTAAGGTCATTGTCGGAACCTGCAGAATCAAATTAGCTAAAGTTTGTGTTTTGTTTCTTGGTACCAAACATTTATTATTATTATTATTATTATTATTATTATTATTATTATTTTCTTTGATTTCTGGCGTTTACACATTTCTTTCCGTGTCCCGCCCAGGGACCTAAGGTTAGAAATGGCGTCATGACACTTTCCCCTGACAAAAAAAAGAAAAAAAAAAAGAATTAAATTACATAGATAAAGCCCTTCGTAAGGTGTGGGCTGTACTTGTCAGAACAATTTTTTGTATCTCCTTGAGGCATGGACTTCCAGGAATCCCTTCAATTAATTATTATTATTATTATCAGTCTAAAAATTGCTGGAAGGGGCGTTACCTCTCCAAAACTTCCTCTCTTTAGTAGCTCTAAGTAACATTTTGAAACATTGTTTCATTTATCTCCCTGTTCTGTTATCCATTCACACAACCACCTTTCATTAGATTAATCTTGGTTTCTCTCTGTTCCTCTTACTTTAAATATATATGTTGCAAGCCTGTCTTTCACCATTACATATCGTGGGAAATTCCAACCGTCTCTTTCCGATTGTAAATATATACATAAATTTATCAGCAGTATCCAGACACTGAGAAACAATGGTTTGGATTCTTACTGTGATCGAATGGGTTGCGATCTAATATTGTTTCGCCTTACTGCTCTAATGAAGGCGATCTTCAATGGGGAGCCATAGATATTTGAATTTAGGATGAGCCTAGTAAATATAAAATACCGCCTGCAATGAGATATATTAGTAAGTTTCGCTTGTGAATCAATGATCTCGAATCAATTCAATACAAGGAAAAAGGTTACTTTTAAAAACGAATGAATAAGTTTGGTCGGGATTATTTTTTCATAAACAGCATGGTATAATTCAAAATAAAATAGAAGTCCTACAATTAAAGAGAAACAGTAACCTGCTTTTACTGAGAAATGACATATAATAAGTAAAACTGTCAAAGATTAGCAAAAGCTATGACTAAATAATTAATTGCTTGACTGCAGATGAGCGAAGAAGCCTATTCATTTCAATATTTCATGTTGCTGCAGACCGGTGTAACAGCTCAGCGGGTACCACCGGTTCAGGGAATGTACGAACTTATTCTCGAGAAAGCTGTTTATAACCAGTGTGTATTTAGACATAAACCGAGCCAATTCATACATACATATATTAAATGGACTAGGCTTGAATATATCCATTCCTTTCACCATGTCATAGTTTTTATATTCTTGTACAGATGATAATCGGGTACATTGCAGGCATTGCTGAATGGGACAATGATGAAAATGCATGTCTGATTCACCATTACTAAGGAGTTAAATCCTCACCGGTTGCTCCACTATCCGTGGCTTTGTAAATGGCGATAGTCGGGTATACTATTGACACATCTGCAGTTGCAAATTGTTCGGTATGTATAAGCAGGAAACATATAATAATGATATATATATATATATATATATATATATATACACACACACACACATATATATATATATATATATATATATATATATATATATATATATATATATATATATATATGAGAGTGAAATGGAAATATTTATCAAAAGAAAAAATATTAGCAATGGATCGTCAAAGCCAGCGAAGAATTAATCTATTTCAAGGCAAATTTCTAATTTGAAACAATACGATGACTTAAAAGAAAACAAAAAGATACCTGTGTTCCTCACATGAAGGACTTGAATATATAAGACTGTAATCTAAGAAAGCTAGGAGTAAAAGAACTGATACATTAAACGGTTCATTTTGCTCGGGAACTATTTTTTTTCTAAATGCAGATAAACATTTTATTTCTATAGATTATTAAAATTTACTAACATACTTTTTTTAATCATTTCATCTCAGGCTAGAATGAATGAGGTTTACAAAGAGTGAAAATGAGAGAAAAGACTGTGTATAGGGTGACTGTGGAAAGGATAAAAGATGAAAAGGATACAAGACGATAGAAGATGGCGATTGAGGTTGCATATAAATTTTTGAAGATTGTAGTTCTCAGGGAAGCAAGTAAAGATTTTAGTTATCAGGGAAGCAAGTCTAGGCAGCTCCTGCTCAAATATGGCAACGATACTCCATTTTCAACATTATCTGGCTCTTATAAAGGTAGAGGATAACATGAAGCGCCCAGTATTTATGAATCGGTACAAGGAGCTGATAATTTTATCTGCATCTTTAGCGATGGATCGTATCTAGGAATTCCACTTGAGGTCTGGCATTAGTTTGAAACCCAATATGCTCTTGAGGCACCCTCCCTCTCAAGGTGACACCTGTTCACCACGCCTGGAGATAGTTCAGGGTCTGTGATTGTTTTTAAACAGAAAGGTCTATTTTAACAGTTACACAAAAAATACAAGTCAGAGATATATACACTTGAAGGAGGAATTTATTCTACAACATGTAATGATTACTGCAATTTATACAAAGGAGAAACCACACGGGATCTATATAAATTATATGATTACAAAAGGAATATGTTACAAAACAAAACACTCAGTACATCAGTTGCTCAGCATAATAGTCGTGGTGATTTTCTAAGCTAGGCTCTTATGTGGCACAAATCTTAATGTATGTGGCATCCAGTAAGGATAAATGCCACTAATCAGTCGAAACTGATCTGGCGAGACAAGCTTGCTATCCATTACAACGCGTTGGGCGCTTAATGAGCCTGACCATCATTTCTATTTATACAATGCTAGTTTAATTAAAAAGGAAAACAGTTTACTAAGAAGAAAGTGTATAGAAAGTGCTTTAATAGCTATATCTCCCACAGTAAATTTCCATTCAGGTGCTTAAAGATCCCAACTTTTTGGCAGATCTATTTTCACAAGGTGGAATACTTAATACCAAAAGTGATAAAAACGTCAACAAAAAAAAAAGTGAAATGAAAGTGGCTAGACACATGAAAACAAAGTTTAAAATAGCGTCCCTTACAATTAGAATCAGTAGCTTTGAGACCACTTCAAAATAATAGCAGATTCAATTATAAAGAGGTAGACAATTTTGTGGCATAATTTTAAAGTGAATCTCAAAGACACTGAATCTACTTACAGAATTTGAAGGAAATTATACTATCTGGCCTTACTACCAAAAATATTTAAGCAAAAAAAAAAAGAAAAAAAAAAGAAGAAAGAAAGAAAGAAATATTTCTCTGCTCTAAACCAGAATTATAAATGCTTACATATTTTACAGATTCAGTATGGTCAGAACTGGAAAAAAAAGAAGATTGTAATGCGTCATTACCATATTAATATATACCTACTTATCTATATTTATCTATATCTATCTTTCTCCTTTCTCATGACCGAATCGATCGTGGATGAGACATGTGCGACGATGATTCAGCCAGTCGCCGCCAACCAGATCTGTTTTCTGCGTCACGAAACAGCGTCATAGTGTCCATCCTGGTCCATTCTTTCATGTTGCGCATCCGGCTTTTGAACTGCCTTCACCTACGTCTACTCCTTACAAGGTAGCTGAAAGTACCGTCATGTGTAGCTTATTGTGGCATGTGATATGTCCAAGCCACAACAGCTTTTTTCCAGTTTACTATTACTAACAGAAGATCCTGAAGGCCTGCCAATTGTGTTACTTGCGCCTCTACAAAGTCATTTATCTTGTGTTCATTCCAGGAGAGCACGAGAAAGAGTCTAAAGCATTTCATTTCAAATGTTTGGACTTCATATGTGTTTTCGGATGTCAGAGTCCAGCTTTCACATCCATAAAGCAGTATGGACAGACCCAGGGAATTGTAGTAAGATAGTATACCAAAAGGGACTTGTAATAAGATATCGTAGTAGGATATCAGTAAGATATTTTTACTTATATTTTTTAGAGAAAAACAAAAACAGTTGATGGAACCAACGGAAAACTTGCCAAAACCAAAAACTCTTATACAGAATAAATCTCAACAGAAAAAAATAAAAAAAAACAATACTGAAAAAAGAAACAGAAAAAAGAGTTAAGGTGAACTGACCTAATCAGTATAGTAAAGTGGTCGATCCCTAGATTGCATAGATTGAGCACTAAAAAGTTTTAAGTTGTTTGAAGATTGCGGCTGCGTGAATCTCGGTTACGGCTAAACCATACTTTCATAGGATTTAACGTATCTCTCTCTCTCATTCTCTCTCTCTCTCTCTCTCTCTCTATATATATATATATATATATATATATATATATATATATATATATATATATCCTAGCCTAATTACCCGCAAGCTGATGCGTATCTGTCTATATGTCCTCATCTTTTGTCGCCATATTTATCACAACGTTTCGACCGTTGTACACTCCGGCCTTCTTCAGGTTGTCGGAATGTCGAACTGAACCCTTTATTTCGCTCACTGGGATAATCTGTTCTAGTTCCACGTGTCATGTTTTTAATGGATGTCAGTTATCAGTATCCCCTGTTAATTTCCCTCTGAAAGTTCTCCACTGCCTTAACCAGGTATTGAACACACACTCTTTGGGTCCTGTCACTGGATCTAACCAACGCCTTTATCCACTATGCCATTGGTGAAATAAAGGGTTCAGTTCGAACTTCCAGCCACCTGAAGTAGGCCGGAGCGTACAACGGCCGAAACGTTGTGATAAATATGGCGACAACGATGACGACAGTAGTCTGAATAATGTAAATAAAACTGATGCGTGTCACACATTTTTATGTAAGAAAAGGATAATTAAATTTTAAATCAGTTATAATTTTTGGTGATAAATTGTGAATTTCATATTATTATTCAATGATCTTGCCGATGTGACCTCCATCTTCTGGTTTTCTCTATTTTAGATAGGAGCTTCATCTGACCCCTTTGATGTGTATTTGATGCAATAGTTGATTGAATGAATTGATGAGTAAATTTCAATATTGATATGACAGTTGAATTGTCACAACAAATATGTATTGTAATGCACCACCCAGTGATTGGTGATTTCTTGCTCAACTTGATATCGATATTGTCTTTTTTTTATCTTGCCGATCTGACCTCCATCTTCTGGCTTACTCCTTCTATATTTGGAGAAGAGAGAGGCATTCCGTTGTTTAAATTTAATTTCAATCGAAGGGAAAAATTAGTAGGGTGTGTATTCCTTGGGACCCACTTTGATTAAAATATACTTATCCAAGTGCCCTAGGAGTCATTCCTTTGTTCAAATTAAAATTAAATTTAGATCAAAAGAAAAAAAAATAGTGGGGAGTCTGAGCCCCCACCCACAGAGACACACTTTAATCAAAATAAAATATACTTATTCTGGTACCGTGGGTAATGAAGATTCCGAATATATATGGTTATGTGTTCCATCTCCTAACACTTGGAGGAGTCCGATAACAAACTAACAGACAGAGGCTACACCTTAATATATATATATTTTTGCTTTAACTTTATTTTATTTAAAAAAAAACTGTGCTCAGTATACAAGTAGAGCCTAAATTATAATTATTTTTTTTAAAAATACGATTCCATCGCTACATAAGAGTTATATATGTATGTATGTATTTATGTCTATGTGTCTGTAACGAAAGATGTGGATTTATTATTTATCAATCTCACAGATTTTTATTACTTAAACGTTATTTTCAGTGGCTATCTTATCTGAGTAGAAGCTCCTTTTATTCATTAAACAGTGCATTTATTCATTTATTTTCATCTACTGGACAGAAAATTTGAGAAATTTTATTAGAAAAAGGGAATATTTTTTTTTCTCATAAGATGTCTCGAGATTCAGGCCTGCAGTCGAAAATAAATAAATGTACTCTTTCATAAATAAACGGAGCGTCTACTCAAATGCAAGTATCCACTAAAAATAACGTTTAACTCTCTCTCTCTCTCTCTCTCTCTCTCTATATATATATATATATATATATATATATATATATATATATATATATATATATATATATATATAAATATATATATATATATATAATATATATATATATATATATATATATATATATATATATATATATATATATATAAGGTTTAATTGTATTTATGCGTATGCCTTTTTTTTCTTTAGTGTTAGTTTGGAAGCTATTCTCATATAAATATGCATTGTTGACTTTATCTCTTGTTTCCGTTTCTCTTCGCAGAGCGTAAAGGCACTTGTCTGCGCTTTTGACGTCATCATACGTGACAAACCCAGTAAACTCGTCAATCTGCGTTTCCAATCAGGAGACATTCTAACCTCTCTCTCTTGAACTCTAACGTTGATCCCTGATCTCGTCTTTTCTACCACCGCCTCAGTTCCTCTTTCCTATATACTTATCTGTCCATTGAGCCGTGCTTTGCCTTAATCGCCGGTCCACTTGAGCCACATTCGGTGCTTATTGTTTTCACTCCTTTCAAATTGGAGCTCCTCGTCTTAATTCACGCTACCTTTCATACAAATAGCACTTCTTTCTTTCCTTTTTCCCCCTCTCTCTTTATATGGTTCGCTTCTTATTTAATTAAATTATTATTTTCTATTTTTCTTATACAGCCCTCTAGAACTGACTCCTGGGAACATCCTTCGTTAACTCATCCTTATTTAACTTTTATCGTTATTTCTATATTATATTCATTCTATTTTTGTCGTTTCTTTCTTTAATTAAATTATTACTGCTTTCGTCTTTTCTTGCTAAATTTAACTTCCTTCTTGAACATTCTTCAAATACATTTATTTAATTTTTTAAAATTTATTTCATATTTCCTAAGTATTCTTTATAGATGAGATTCTTATTTGAAAAATGGAAAGGCACACGGCCCTATCACGTTGAATCACCGTTCACCAAATTTAAGCAACATCGAGTTCTGTTAGTACCTCTAATATACATACATACATATATATATATATATATATATATATATATATATATATATATATATATATATATATATATATATATATACACATAGACATATATATATATATATATATATATATATATATATATGAATAAATTTATGGAATAAATTATGAAAAATTAAATACGATCCAATTCATCAGACCTACAAATTCATAAAGAAAACAGAAAAAACAACTCCGGAAATAAAAAATAAAATTTCGAGAGAGTGTAAGTATGAGAGTGTGGGACGAATGTTAGAGCTATAGAGAGGAGTAACAGACGAGAGAAGGTGGGGGCTTATAATTTAACAGAGAGGACTTTTAGAGAGGGAAGTCAAAGACGGTTTAAGTGAGACAAATATGAATGTTGTCGGATGTCTAATACATTAAAGATGTAACCGGAAAGGATACATTTTGTGGTGACATACACACACAATAGACAATCTCATCTTAAAGGTCAAAAGAAGAGAGAGGAAAAGGAAAGAAAAAGGGGTGGGGGTGTATGAGTGTATAATTTTAATATTTACAACCTAAGAAAGATTTTGAAGCGACATTCGGACTAACGGCAAGATCACGTTGAAATACCGGTTCTCGTACGAATCCCCAAAGTTAATCGATACCGAGCCTGTCAGTACCTTGATAGGTGACCGCTTGGAGATATCAGGTACTGTAAGCTTGGGTGTGCGGGTGATGATGGGTCGGAATTTTTAATCAAAGAGCCGAGTTTACGCCGAAATAATCTGGTCAACGATATGTATCCAGTTCTTTTCATCCACCAACTATTGGTTAATTAGTTAAATCTTGTATCACTAATTCATTATTATATGCCAACAAAAAATACTTTAAAATATTTTTTGGCTTCAAATAACCTGCAAATGGTTGCTAAGCCGTCAAATATGAATGAATCAATTTCTATTCGTTTTTTTCCGTTAATTTCATTCGTTCTTTCTTTCCTTCGAACATGTCCTCATTCTTTCATTATAACTTGTTCTCAGTCTTTTTTAAAAATGTCTTTCCTTTCTTTTCTCATTACTCATTACCTTATAATTTTTCTTTACTATTGTCTTTCTTGTTGTTTTTTTCCTTTCTTTACTTTCATTCCTCCACATTTATCCTTCATTTTTATCAATTATTCTTTTGTTTTACTGTTAACTATTTCATTTTGTCGCCATCTTTGTATCCGTTAAATTTATTTAAAGTTTCAATTTCTTTTCATTTGAGTGTTTAATTATTTTTCTCTATTTTATTCTTTCATCAATTCCTTTTCTTTAATTTATTAATTATAATCTATTTATAAATTTTCGATTTAAGAAATAAAATTCCGTTTTGTATTCCAATCAGTTTGTCTGGTCGTTCTTCTCTCTCACTCATACATCTATTTGTTTTTTGTTTTTTTTATCTCCATTTTTAGGTTAATATTTTTGTTCTGTAGCAACTATCTGTTAATAGCAGCAAAATCTTAAGTTAATTTTCGGTTAATATAATCGTCCAATGCCACATTGGCGCTCGCAGAGAAAGAGCAAATGCTTCTGGATGATATATTCCCCTTAGCTTAAGAGTAATACATTTTAATCGCTTCAGAAGATCATCGTCATCATCATCATAGTAGTAATTATTAGTATTATCCTATTATAATTAGTTAGTTCCCACGACCGTTAAGCTCTGTCAGTTACTCATAAATAATGTACAACTCCATTTTGATCGCGTGGAAAGATGTGAAAAGACTTGCTTTTCAGTGCGAGAATGAAAGAAAAGAAGTTACCATAGAAGTGGAGAGCGATATTCAGATTGAACTGATAAGAACACATACTACACTTTGATCTTAGCCAAAAGGCAAAGAAGCGATTGCGGTGTTTACTCATTCCCCCATGAGAATTAGATGTGACACAAGGTCTTTTTAATGTGGGGACCCGAGCGCGCACACTCGGGCAGGGACACAGCCCCCGCAACCGTCGATTGAGCTGGCCTCGGTGCGAGCTCCGATCCCTCCCTCTTGTGCAATGGGAGGGCGCGGCCTGAGAAGCGATTGCATTTTCTTTCTGCCACACACTTGCATTATATGACAAAAGTTGAGATTATTGTGGAAAGCCCGAGGGTGTGCACACAGGTCATGTCCAAAAATAGCCCAGCCCTTGCAAAGGTGGTTTGCGCTGTCATCGATTTCCCTACCTATCTCCCCTCTTTTGTATAATGAGGAAAGTACTGCTGCGGAGAGTTGTATCACAAGGTCGGGAAATCCCTGAATAATATTTCCAATTGCGCTCCGTCTGCAGGCAGAGGAGTATCTGAAACATAAAATGTTGTGTACTGTCTTTTACTGTTTTGATTAATTCTCTTTTTCTTCTCAGTTTTCGTATCCTATAATTTTATCAACTGTTATCATTTATTGGCATCCATTTTCCTTCTTTTTTTCACTTGGTAGCCTTTATTTTGCTTTTGCTAAAACTTTACCTTATTCTTTCTCTCTCTCTCTCTCTCTCTCTCTCTCTTTCTCTCTCTCTCTCTCTCTATATATATATATATATATATATATATATATATATATATATATGACACTCAAATGTGTGTATAAGATTATAAATGTATTTAATGGTGGCCTAAAGATTGCGTTCAAGCATGAAAGAGATTGTCGTCCATCGATATTGACCTCAGTATCTACTTTATATATATATATATATATATATATATTACTTGTCTTCCTTCTCACTTTTCTATAAATATTTGCAGTTCTTCTAAAGTTCTCCTTCTTGGTACATCAACCGGATGAAATGAAGCGTAATAGGGGACTGGCAAAAATAGAGAGAGCTCATCGTTTTAATGTTGATACAGCTAGATATAACCGCATGTCATGTTTTAATGTTTTCTTTTCCCACATTTTTGGGACTAAAAATCGATTTCTTGATTCCCCGCCATCTACAAACTTCAAATATTTAAATGTAACGTCAATCACCATCTTCGATCTGCCTGAAACCTTTTCTTTCATTGTCCTTTCTCCTCATTAATTTCTTCTCATTCTCTTCCCAGCGCCTGAAACCTTTTGTGGCTGAGTGGCGTTATCGCCTTGCTCAGAAAGAAATGATTTAAAATAAAATATGGGGAGTAAATAAGGCTCGGAAACTTTGGTACTTGCAGTTGGGAGACAGCGAGTACCTTACATAAGGAGTTGGTGTACATGGATATCAGGATGCATCCTGGGAGGGAAGTACCGTAATTCTCCATGTATAGTACGCATTCATCCATAATACGCGCACCTAAAATTGTGCTGAATGTGTGGGGAAATGCTTCTACTCATGCATAATACGCACCCCCTTTTTGGTAATGGAAACCTATAAATTGTAGCTCTTCAATTTAATTACGGTTAACGTTTCCTACTCTTATTTAAAAAAAATGATTTAAACATTATTCTAATTTAGTTTTATGATAATTCTTATTTTATTTTGCGGCAATTGTTATGCATAATACACACCCTTGATTTTGCTTATTATTTTTAGAAAAAAATGCGTGTTATACATTGGGAATTACAGTCGTAAAGAACTTTTATCACTCATATTCTGAAGACTATAGAAGATGATCTGAAAGATGTCAACCAATATACCGATGTAAAATTATAAGAATGAATGTTTTTTTTTTTGTATTATATATTGTAATTCCGTAATCAGAAACATATTTTTGTTTCGGTTACATTGCGAAAACTATTCCCAATAGACAAAACAAGTAGATTAACCCAGCCTCCGTAATATGATCGAAATAAGAGAAATAATATGAAAAAAAATGGCTGAATGACATTCTCTCAAGAAAAGGCAACAACAATGCGAATAAAGAATTGGAAAAATATGCAAGAAAATAAAACTGTTGCAAAGAGTAGAAAATAGATGAAAGGCAGGGCGGAAAGATCAAATAAAATCCAAGTAAAAAGAAACCGAAAAGAAGAAGAAGAAGAAGAAGAAGAAGAAGAAGAAGAAGAAGAAGAAGAAGAAGAAGAATGTATAAAAGAAAAAGAAAGGGGGATAAATTAAAGAAGAGTAAATGGAGTATAAATCGCCTGAAGTACGTTTAGATCAAAAAAATCTGAGTAAAAAAGATTTAAAAAAATGAAAAAAGTAAAGAAAGAATTAAAGAAGTAGATAAATAAATAAATAAATAATAAAGAAAGAAAGAGTGAAACAACTAATAGTGAACGAGAAATTAAATATGTAAGTTCTTAATGAACAAGTGAGAATACATATAAAAATAAATAAATAAAAGTAGAAATAAAAAAAGAATGGTGAAAGGCGGAAAAAAGGAATGAGAAAAGTGAGAGAAAGAAAAAATAGAATACAGAAAAAGAGAAAAAAGAGAATTCTTTGTCTTTACTTTTTTTCTCATTTTTAAGAGAAAGAGAAAGAAAGACAAAGAGAAAGCAAGAAAAAGATAAAAAAGGAAAAACAGAAACAAACAAAAAAGAAAGAAAGAAAAAGAGAAAGAAATAAAAAGAGAAAGAAAGAAAAAGAGAAAGAAAAATAGAAATATCGACAAAGAAAAAGAAAGAAAAAGAGAAAGAATAGGAAAAACGACAGAGAAAGAAAGAAAAGAGAAAGAAGGAGAGAAAGAAGAGAAAGACCGATACAAATAAAAAAAAGAAAGAAAAAGGAAAGAAAGTAAAAGGAAATAATAATAGAAGGGATCACAACAGAAAGAAACAATAAATAACAGAAAGAAATAAATAAACAAAGAAAGAAAGAATCAGCAAAAAGATATTACGATTTTGTAAATGTCTGGTGGAA